CAAACTGCTGTCAGAGATAAGCACATCTGGCACTGTGAAGTCTGTAAGGAGCGAAAATCTGTTGGCGTCAAAGTAGGATTTGTGCACCTTGTAGGTGTGCAGAATAGTCTCTCCAGGATATGAGCTATCTTCTCTAAGGGGAGAATTCAGAAATTTTTGTGATGCTCATCTGCTTAACAAAAAATGTTAGTAAAAACTGTCTCCTACACTATATGTCTTCCAAATATGTATCTAAGGTAAATATAAACAAACAAATATACAACCTCATAGTCAGCATATTTCCTAGGGTAGCACAAGACCAACATGCAAGCCTATTCTCAAGGAAGAGGCTGTAAGTTAACTCTTGCTTCTCAGAAGAGAGCTATCCACCAATAGATTTGGGTGAAAAAGGAGCAGAAATGTACAGGACCACACAGTGACTATTATGGGAAGTTTATCCTTACATTTGAAGGACAGACCTGCTCTGCTAGGCCTTATCCAATGGCTCTCCAGGGCAAAATGAATGGACAGTCCTTGGAGCAGCAGTGAGAAAGTAGGGTTCCTTTGTACCAAAGAGCTTTATTCATCTCCCTGCTCCTCCCTGCAGGCAAGGTGAGAACTGGGTATCAGGCTGCTGTATCTTCAACACTGACATATGGACATGAACCTCTTGCCCACCCTTGAAGCTCTGGGTAAATAAGTCTGCTATGTGATACAAGCACTGCAAAGGACAGTGCCATTTCCCAGCTGATCAGTATTTGTACCCACAAACTGCTTCTCTCCCTTCTCTTAAAACTCACTTTCTGTCTGGGAATATAAAACACTGTCTCCATAATGCTCACCTCCATGGAAATGCATACACATGAATTTCAAATAAAGGGATAACTGCAGCAAAGCATGAGCAGTTCTCATGAAACAAAACAAACAGCAGTTGTATCAATAAACAATTAGATAGAGCAGCTACCTGATGCTGCCTACTTGGAGAAATCCCTAGCTTCCAGCTGCTTCCATGCAACAGGAGTGGAATGAATTATGTGCTATAGTCATCTTGACTTGGTAAAAGATCTTGTTATGCCTTTTTACAGAGGGACATTTTGCTTCTTGCCCTAATTCCTAATTGAAGACAAGAATACCACGTCATGTTTTAAACTCAGCTGAGTCATTAAACTATACACTGCACCCTGGTCTTCAGTTAAACTCCTCTGTGAAACACTTCAATTATAATTAAAGAAGCAATTATCCCCCTGTTGAAGGTGCAGCAAATCACACATTTCTATGCAAAAGTTCATCTAGCAGCTTATGGCATATTAACCAATCTTACATCTCATTGATACTTTGATCTATATCCTATTTCATTGACCTAATTTGATGTGACTCTGTCTTGGACTATATTTTATCATGTGCAATTTGATGCTGGCATTTTTCAAAAGAACATATTAAATGACCTAGGGAATTAATTGCTAATAGTTCTGCCATTAGTGTTGGAATGCATCAGAATGGGATCCTTATCCACTTCTCAGATTAAGCTTGAAAAAATGCATGCACAAAACAGAGTGAAGCAGAAACGGTTATTTGGGATGAGACCAGGAAGCTGGAGTTGCCTGAAGTCCAGCAGTGAGGAGCAGCAGCAGCAGCAGCTTCTGATGATAAGCAGGTCAGACTGTTTATCTCACTATCTCACTGTCTTGTCGCATTCCTTCCCACCAAGGCAAAGCACAGGTCAAGGAAGCATAGAGGTAGGGCAGGCTTTTTTTTCGTTTACATTTTCATTCATTCTTTCTTTTTTTTTAATAATAATAGTATCTGTGCCTGCTCATTTAGGCCACATATAGGAAAAGGCAAAACATTTCCTCAGGTGTGTCAGAGCCTGCAGGTTGGTTCAGCTTGGTACTGGCTATAATGCTAGGATGGGAGTTACATGCTATGGAGCAGTGGCACAGATGCTGGACAGAGGTATATGGACACAGAGCAGCTGATCTGACTTTCCTAGTGACCAAGCAAACCCTCTGCTTCTTACTTCGTCCCAAGTGAACAAGCAAGATGTGCTTTGATTCAACCTTTTCTTTGATTTGACCTCAGGCCATGAGACTGGTGTACTTTAACACGCCTTCTTCTATTTTTCTTCTAAGTGGATCCTGAAGTTTCATTTCAGTAGCTGTGATCTGAGTCTACTCTAATGCTGGTCATGTCCTAGCAGGGGCTAAGGGGCTGGTAAGTGCTGTTTTAAAAGCTTTGCTGCCCATCTCAACCTTTGTCCTTCTTGCCCTGTGGAACAGCTGAATGCTGCTATGTGGTTCAGCTTTTCAATAATAATAATATCTGCTCCTGCATTGACCTGCAAGAGATCAGTGCAGTTAATTGCAATTAAATATGCCGAGAATTACAAGACTAAATACCCTAGCTACAAAAAAGAGAAAAGTATTTATCCCTAAGCATGTTTATTCCAGCTATTTAGAAATATTAAGAGAAAAACAAAATTAAGGGACAGAATTAAAAGAAAAAAGAAAAATTAAGTGGAAGACTTGTGGACTCTGGATTCCAGCATGATGTCTCACTGAATGAGTATTTCATACAGTTTCACAGTATAAGCTCTTCTTCCCATTTTGTTGCTAAATCCAGTGACCACTTCACAAGGGAGGAAGTTGAAAAAACAATAACAACAAAAAAACACAACACAATGCCCAGAGTGGGGAGAGTCCAAGGTACACGCTCACCAAAGCATTTGTAAATACTGCTAACTTGCTAATACTACAGCAACAGTGTTACCTACTGTACTTGAAATTAAACCACTCAGTGTACAAAAAGCCTTGGTTTGCTGCCTGCCTTCTTCCAAGTGCTTTCATAGTTACCTGTACCATCCTATCAGAAAATCCTCTGAACAAATAAAGGAAGTCATAAGCATAGAATTAATTCATCTCTAAATTAAAATAATCATGTAATCCTTCAACCTACCAACTTACCTTTCATCTCGGTATTTTTTAAAATTTATTTTACCAGCTTCACCAAGTGGCTGTAATAAAGTGTCACATTAAGGTATTCATATTCATTAGTGTTCAGGTCTTTGTACTTTTAATAGTGTTGGAAAGAATCTACAAAGAGTCTGTATTAGGCGGCTGTCCAATCTGGGTGTTTGATCTCCTCCTGACTTCAAGAGTCAGAAGAGAGAAAAAAAAATACAACATCGAGAACAGTTCTTTTCAATGTCAGATGGGTAGTATATGATTTCTGAGGCTGCCAAGTGGTAATTGGTGTCTGCCCTGACCATCGTACAAATAAGACTTGGAGCCAATGTAGAGTCATGAGTCCCTGCTACTGACGGAGTGAGTCAGGATACAAGTAGGCAGAAATAAGTGCAATTATTATGAGAAGAACTTGCAGAGGATCTTTTCAGAGCTCAGTTCCTTGTATTAGGAAGCAGACAAGGCTACTGAGGAATCTTTGTTGTTTGTCTTTTTTTTTTTTTTTTTTTTTTGCCTTTACAGCAGCTCAGTGGAAGGAGGACAGGTATAATTTGACTTAAGAACAGCAATTACAAGATGCAGAATGTTTATAAGAGCAGAGAGAGTTCCCCTTCCACATGTCATGTTAAATCCAGGCCTGGCCACCTGACTGGGGTTTTACAGACCTTTCCATGGAAATAGCTGGGCTGATTGCTGAAATTTCAGAGGTGCTTGTAACATCATGCTCAAATAAACCACTCATTATGACCAATCTCAGTTTCAGTTAATGAAGTTCTCTGATAGTATCTGCACCTCCATAATAACCTATCCTATTTCAAATACTCATCAAGGCATGACAGCATATTGATTTGATGTAAAGATGCATCATAAATGGAAAAAAATATATTAAAAATTCACTAAAATGTTGTTGGGGAAAGCCAACTGACTAAGCAGATTCATCAGACCTATATGCTCTGTACAGCTTTGGGTATTGTAAAGGAGAAAGAAAATAACCTAGGGAAAAAGGAAACAGGAGAAACCTATGCTAATTGTTCCCTCAGATGTTTGTAGACACTTTTCTACAAAAAAAAAAAAAAATTAAATCTGATTAAACCTTGCATAAGATAGGGAGGCAACATTTTAAGCTTGGTCTCCTGAGAAATCAGTCATCAGTGCCGAGGAACAACAGCTTTGCTACTTAGCCATGACAGTCTAGCTTATCTTAATGCAAATCGGCAGCAGTTTCCTGTATGGCAGAGGGAGACTGAAGAGAATTACCCTCATTAACAATATGAATTTTTCACTGAACATCAACAGCAGACTTAGGACTTCAGAGCCACTCCGTGACTCAGGAACCCCCTGCTGTGAGCAAAGAGTCTGGAGCCATTTTTGGCTGAAGCCACAGTTGCATGTAGGCAGGGATACCTGCTGCGGCTGGTGGGCACAGATTTTGGTGAAGAGAAAGTTTCTTCCTGCCAAGTGGGTGGAAGGCTACCCACTCTCTAATACTTAAATGTCAGGGGAAAAAAAAAAAAAAAAAAAAAAAAGATAAATCCATGAAGATGAATTCTTATGCAGATGCATCCCCTACTTGCCAGTACATGCTGCTTCACCTGAACCACAGTACGTCCTTGTGCACCCAGCTAGCTACCCTGGTGCATACTCAAGTGTGTGCATAAGTGCATGATGGAATTAAAATGTCTTGGTGAGCTGGGAAGGTGCTTCTCTCAAAAACTGAAATGGCATTTTCTTTAAAAGGGAAGGGAAGGATAATAGGCTGGTATCAGTATACTCCACCACTTATATGTTGCTTGGATGTCAGAAATAACTAGGATATTTGAAAGGGAAAAAAAACCCTGAAACTACACCACCTGTAGCTCTGCCCAGCAAGACATCGTAATTGCCTCCAAAGTCATTAATCAGCTCCAGATCAATCTTATCTACCAGCAGCAGGCAGCCAGCTCTCCATTGCCACCCATTCATCATGCTAAGCCCTTATTCCCTGCTCCATTAGCCACAGATCAGGCCTGAGTTAGGACATCCAAGTACCAGCTGCTGGGGCAAAACACCACCACTGCTCACCTCAGCTACCGGAATGCCTTCAGGAGGACGGCACTGGAGCAGGACCTCTTGCTCCAGGGACACTTCTTTCCCCAGGGGCTCCTGCTCAAAAGTCTTCCTGAGATCTGGGGAGAGAAGAAGAATTAACAGTATTAATAAATTAGTAGTATTAATAACTGCTTGCTTATTTCATGTTTCATTGTCGTACGACCGAATAAGAGAAAAGTCTTTTTAAACAGAGAAAATGGAATATTTGCTCCCTAGAAAGTAGAGCACTTAATAAAGACTGAGGCATGTTTTCACTTCATTCAAGCATGAAGTGGTCAAAGGTTTCATAGCAGATTTATTATTTATATTGTGGTAGTACACATGAACCCAGCCAGGAACCAAGGCCTCACTGTGAAAGGTCATGCCCAGACATGGAACTCAAGAAGAAAGAAATTCCTTCTTTGGATAATTTATGTTTGCAAAGAGATTCTGGGAAATACTAAAGAAAGTTAAAGGAAATTATATAAGCCTGTAAAACTAAAATACATAAGCTGAGTTTCCTAAACTCCTGCTTTAAAGTGTTTGTACTGCCATTTTTAATCATTAATTTTACAAGTTTAGCTCATCTGTCTTTACTATCTCACTATTCCTGTAGTACTAGATAACAACAGTCATAATGTGGAGTCAAACGACATATGGATCTGTGCACAGCACCACAGAAACCTCAAAGGCAGAGGAGCATCAGATGTGTCTCCTAACCATGGAACTGTTCATTGTACTGGGCAGATGCACACTTCGGCTTTTGTACATCTGTAATATATTTGCACTGGTGTTAAAAAGGACTTGAGAATTTCCCTTCTTACTACGTCTGTATTTCCACCACGCACTGGCATCCTCTGTGTAGTATCAGGGAGGATGGGGTTTTGGAGAAGTGAGCATCCAGCCCTAGTGACAGCTGGGGACATTTCTCCCTGCTGTTGGCTCCTGCTGCAGGTAGATGGAGGCCATGCTGGAAGCCATGTCAGAGAGCTGATCTATCTTTGAAAAAACACCTTTCAAAAAAAGGGATTTTAAAATTTTTGTTCTGAAGTCAGACAAGTTCCCTATGCCAGTTCATGGCAAGGTTGTGCAAATAGTTGTGTCATACTAGAAATAAACCCTATGGGATCAACTTAAATGCTAAATATTTTGAAGCTATAACCAATGGCTGTTCAGGAAAACTTATCACTGAAGTGAACCACCTTACAAATAGACTATCCAAAGTGCTATCTTTCGTCTAGAATCAGTAATTTTGTCAGACAACATGTGAACCTTCACACGGTTGTGTGTGTTGTCATCCTTACTACACTGGAGGTCCTCCAGCCCAGCAAGGCTACCTCATGTGAGAGTGACCAAAGCAAGACAACCAGCAAGAGCAGTGCTGTCCATGATGCCTGTGGAGCTCCCACTGTGCTGCCAACCCCAGCAACACCAGCTCCAGCCCACCCTCTGACAGGCTACCCAGAGGACACACTGGCTGTACAGCTCAATTTGAGTAATTTATTTTTTTTTTTTTGCGGGGGAAAGAAGACTGAGAGGGGGTCTGATAAAAGTTTATAAATATCTGAAAGGAGATGGGAGGTAAACAGATGAGGCCAGGCTCTTCTTGGTGGTGTGTACTGATAAGGCTAAGAGTAATGGCCTAAAACTTGAATACAGAAAGTTCCGTAATGGCCTAAAACTTGAATACAGAAAGTTCCGTACTAACATATGGAAGAACTTCTTCACAATAAGGGTGATGAGGAAGTGGAACAGGTTGCCCAGAAAGGTTGTGGAGTCTCCTTCTATGGAGATATTCAAGACCCATCTGGGTCATTTTTAAAATCGTATCACTGTTAATTCCACAGATATATCCAAAGGAATTCTCTCTTCTTCAAAGAGGAAGAAAGAAGTGCCTTAGTGCACTTAATGTACATATGCGTGTATGCATATGTGCATAGTAGGAAAATTATAACAGACGTGCTCAAATAGCACAGCCGAGGATAAATAAGAAAGTTACAGTGCTGGTAAGAGAAGCATATAATACTAATAAATTGTGCATGAATAATAGCATTCAGGCGTGCCAATATAGAGGGATTGATACAGTGGAGCCAGATTAGACAGACAAGAATCTGAGGCTTCTCCTTGGATCGCTGATTTACTGTCATCCCTGCCTTCCCAAAACATTTGTAGAGCTCAGAAGTTCTCAGCAGCCTTATGCTTGCACAGCAATCACCTACTCACAAAACACTCCCCTCTAAAAATCCTCAGTTTTAGTGCATACAAAAGTAAACAGCATTAAGTCTAGAAATGTGTAATAACAGTAAAAAAAAACCCACTCACTTTACCTTCTTTATTATCACCAGCTGGAAGTGTTGGGTGTGCAGGGCTTGTTTTCTCTGTGAAGCTCTCCAGCATGGATATGGGAGGTGCAATGAATCCTGTGGGAATGGCCCCTACTAGCTCCCCTCCCACCCCACTTGTTGGTGCCATTGGATTGCAGCAGGTCAATGAGTCACAAACTAAAAATACACTAAGTAGGTGCCTTGACATAATAGACAGTAATGTTCTCAAAGGAGTCATTAGATACTGTTGAGTAAATGATACTCATTTGAAAATAAATAAATAAATAAGAAAAAAGTACATATTTGTGTATTTACAAGACTGGAAGCTTTTATACCCTATTCTTTTGGCTCCCTCCCACGTGTTTACAGCTTAACCCATGCAGAACTACTTACCACCTCGTGCTGCAGCTGTGCCACCTACAAACAGCTACAGGCAGCAGTTGTGCAGGGCAGCTTCTACCTCACCAGGCATATGGTTCACTGATTGCGAAAGACAATCATGGTAATAAGGTGAGCTCTAAATTACGAAGAAGCGGAAAGCTTAGGAGAACAATTTCCTCACCTGCTGTGCTACCGTGAAACACTCTACTGGATTAGCACTGCATTTTGCACTGACTTCTATTTTTCATGGCCCTTGCAGTATGACTTTTTTTTGTAGATAACAAAGATTTCCTTCTAATTCTTCAATCTGCAGCTTCGTTTTCCATTTAATGTTTACAGTCCTCATGACAACTTCACACTGCCGACCAGGAGTGGGTGAGTGTGCTAATGTACTAAGGGACTTTGGATCATTGCCAAACAAAGCTTTCTCAAAGACATTTGTTGTTTTTCTGAAGTGTCATGTCTGTTACAACCACTTGCAAGCAGAAGGAATACATTTTCACATAGAATGGTAAAAGACAAATAAATACATCCAATTTTTTAAAACAAGTTTTCAAAATCTTCAGAAAATATGCCTGAAAAAAAAAGCAAAACAATAAAACACTCGATCCATTCTGAGTCAGGACCTCTTTGTGAGAGACAGTGTGAATTATTAAAGCTTTTGGTCTGCAGCAGCCCTGTAAACGTGATGCTGAGAGAGCTTTCTCTACCCTCACTCTCAATACAGAGAGACACAAAAAGAAGGCAGCTGCACTTTCTCTCCATTATTATTTTAGTAATGTTGAATAATCTCTGACTGAGTTAGCAATGCTCTCCCCATTGTACAGGTAGTACTGCTGCCACAACTCATCTCTTCAGAGCAGATCAAACCTTGCTAGGAAGCGATGCTGAGAGGTCCCCCTCATTCTGCCAGTGGCTTCTTCATGTGTGTCACTCTGCCATCAGGCTTAGGGGTCAACACAGCACCAGCAGGCATTTCCCCTGCCTCTCACACCCCTTCGAGGATGTCTTCATAAAAAGAAACTATGGAGGAGAATTAAGATTCCGACCCACCACCTTGAGCCAAGCTTTTTCTTTATTAATATAGAGTCTTAGTAAATTCAGAGGGGGCTCTTGTGGCATATATTGCAGCACATTTACAGCATACTTAAGATGAGACTTTCCTCCAAGACTCCTGAAATACTTCTCCACAAGCCTATCTGTTAAGGACAGATGGCTGCATTCAGAACTGCATTGAAATGAGAGAATTTCCACAAGCATAAAACTGAAATAGTGTAATGGGGAATCAAAACTCAGCGTACACCATATTGTTAGCTTTATTCCTGAATTTCTATGCTTTCTGAGGAGGTGAGCATTAGAGCTTAATTTTTATGCACTGTTAAATTCCCTTTAAGTTCAATGCATTCTTAGCTAAGAGAACACTCAAAAGTTGCATTTTTACCAACTAAAGGTAATAGCTTCTATATAAACTCACAGTATTTCCTCACTTCCTTTAGTAGCTGTCATCTTCTAAGAAAGAGCAAAGAATGGCCCTAGTCTTCTTTTTAATCAAATCGATTTTATATCCTTACTGTTGCTCTGTTTTTTGCTGTGACAGGTGGGTGGGTAAAACTTTAAAGATATCTTTTATCATTTCTGAGAAACGTGAGAAGAGGCAGACCAGATGCCTTAAAGGCGGTGCTAATGTAAGGGTAACTAATGAATGAGAATGAAAAACGGACACTTGTCAGCCAGGAATTAGATGTAAACCATAAATGAACTGAACAATGCAGCATTACTGTCAGGGAAAGATGGATTTCTGCCCTTGGTAGACCTTAAAGACACTTTATCCTGTGCTCCTTATAGTAACTCCAACTTCAGCTTTCCTTCTACGTAAATATTTCAAAATTAAATGGGGAAAAAAAAAAAAAAGCAAGCTTTAAGAAAACAAATTGAAAAGCCACATTATTTTTTATCCAACTTTCACATTAGCTATGGCCGCTGAGGGAAGTATATTTGATGTATGCCTTCAGAGAAATAAGTTCTTAAGAATGCAAAAAAAACTTCATGAGGAGTACATATATATGGCAGTTTGCTTTATATGGGTAGCACATGCAGGCATACATATAAAACCAAATACATCTTATGCAAAAAATGCCATTAAAACACTAGAAAAGAGAGAATATGGCATGACACTTTTAAACCATTACTAGTATACTAAAAGTTAGGCAAGCTCTCTTAATCAAGTCTATCTCCTATTGATGAGAGTATTCTCAAGTGGCTAGATTTGTTGATGTTTTAATTTTAGTTAACTTAATATGAAATACTTCATCAGAAAAATAACTTTGGAGAAAGAGTGGGAAAATGTCGATGATGTTCTAAGAAATGAAAGGATCCACATGCGTATGAAGGCA